GGCATATATCAGTCGCTGTCGCGAGCTGCGCGACAAGCTTCTTCGATGTGGAGGATCGATTTCAGAAGACGCCTTCGTCACGGTTGTCATCGGCGGTCTTGGCCCTCACTGGCGCTCCACTCGCGCCATACTACGAGCACACGGGAGAATCTCCGAAGCAGCACTCTGCGCCGAAATACATGCCGAGCAGCAGGACATGGACCTGCAAGAAGAACGACATAAGAAGAAAATGTCAGTACCAGAGTTCGCGTTTCACACCCAGCGACGCTACAACAACAACAATCGGCAGCAACAACAATTGAAGCCAGTACCTCCGTTTTGCCACATCTGCAAGACTTCAGGGCATCCTCGTACGCACTGCCCGCATCGTCAGCAATCGACAACATCACAGCGACAACTTCGGCCTTCAAGCTCCCAAGTCACTTCAACGCAAGTAAATCCCACGACAAAGATTCAAGCCTCAACGACTCCAACAGGACAACCTGCACAAGGAGCAAGAAACATCGTCAACTCCATGGCAAAGACAACAGATTCCTGCATCACCGAATCACCGCCGCACTACTCACCAGAAGAACGACTTGACGAAACCACACCTCGACGCGAGTCACTTCAGCCGAACCCGACATACGCCGCCATCGCTCAAAGCGAGCCCTCCGGAAGAGACACTTGGTTCTTGGACAGTTGCTGCGGACAACACATGTGCTCCTCAGGACGCTTCGTTCAACGCGAGCACCAACTCCAACGAGAAGTCGTCATCACCGTCGCCAATAATCAAAACCTGCGCACAAGACGACAAGGCATAGTACAACTTCAGTCACGAGAGACAAACGACGTCCTACAAATGTCAAAAGTACTAATCGCGGAGGGACTCGGCTACAACTTACTGAGCGTCAGTCAGTTGATGGCGAAAGGCATACACCTGGAAGCCGACAGCACCACCCAGGAGTTCAAACTGTACCACGGGAAGGGCGGCCTCTACATCGGAAAGGCGGTTCTGAAGAATAGCGTCTTTGTCCTTGACTTCGTCCCTGACCAGGGCACTGCAGACAGCGACGCCATCGTGAACTTCGCCGACTGGACGCACCCTCCAGATCTTGATCCAGACTTCAGCCCGGAAGGCTTCTGGTACTCGCACACCATCCCTGAAGCAGAACGAACACGCGCGTTAGCAACTATTCAACATTCGGCAGCAGCAGAGACAACATCGGCAGCAGCAGAGACAACATCGGCAGCAGCAGAGACAACATCGGCAGCAGCAGAGGCAACACCGGCAACAGTAGAACCATCGTCAGCTGCAGCGACACCAGTTCTCGTTGACGAAGCAACACCATCACCCGCACAGCAGCTGAACCCAACTCAACGGGAAGTCCACAGAAGCGCAAACGACGTCGCCAGCTTCTACTCCAACTCCGACGCATATCGACGCTCACCCGGACACCGCGCCTCCGAAGACATCTGGCACGCACGCATGGGACATCCAAGCAACACCGTGTTAAATAATACAATAAGAGCAGGAGTCCTAGACAAGGACTCATTACTACTACCCGACGGCAGAGAACTTCAACGGGCACGAGGAACCTGCCTCACCTGCCCCGAAGCCGACTTACCACATCGACCGTTTACTCCTCACCACAACCCGAGCGCACCCGCGTACGCACCACTCGAGAAGGTGTACAGCGATATTCTCTTCAATCGAGAACCAGGACAAGTTACTTACAACTACACGATAACCTTCATCGACGCCGCCACTCGATACGTCTGGCACCTAAACCTACCCAGCCGCGACATGGCACTCGCAGCGTTCGCCGCCTGGCTACCAGTAGCAGAGAGAGAGTCGGGAGCACAGTTGAAAAGCTTCCAGTCAGACGGAGGAGGAGAATACACCTCTCAGCGATTCAAGCAGTACCTGGCGGAAAGAGGAATCAAGCAGCTCCTCTCCCTTCCCTACGCCCATCAGCAGCAAGGTGTCGCAGAAAGAATGAACAGGACTCTGCAGAACAGCATGCGCAAACTGCTACGTGGCATGCGGCTACCCAACCACCAGTGGCCTGCAGCAATGGACCATGCTGTCATGCTGCACAACTTGATGTCGTCGTCCTCACTTCCGAACAACGCATCACCGCATCTGCTGTGGACAGGGAAACAGGGCAGCACGAAAATGTTACGAGTTTTCGGGTGCATGGTACAGTACCGACCCCCAGAGGCACGAGCGGGAAGATTTTCACAACGTGCACAGTGGGGACTACACCTCGGCATCGAAAAGAATTACAACACGTGGAAAATCTTCGACGTCCACTCCAAGGAAACAGTAGCAGCACGTGACGTGATCTTCTACGAACGACTCACACTTCAGACGTACCTCGCTAACTTGCACGGGAATCAAGATCCCACAGGTGGCTTTCGTGGTGACCGAGCCTTCGCCTCAGCAGCGGACGAAGCAGACTGGGACGAGCAGAACGTCGACAACGCATCCGAAGAAGCCGGACCTCTCCCGTTCTGCTCCGTCAACGTCCCCATGGACGAAGAAAATCCTCGCGAAAGCGCCAACGCCGAAGTCTTCTACCACTTCGCCGACAACGGTTACGTAACACCTGCGACAGTCAACACCAACGAAGCAGAACGGATAGGACCGAATTTCAAACCCGACCCAGAAGCGGGAGATGAAGCAGCTTATCCCGAGGAGACAACACTCCCCCGCTACTCACAGACTGGACTGCAGATTCTCGGCCTCGTCACCGCAGTCCACGGCAACGCATTTCCTATAGAGCCTGCGACGGTTCAGCAGGCTCTGGGGGGGGAACACAGGGAAAAATGGCGTGAAGCCATGGATAGAGAATTAAAGGCGCTGGAGGAACGTAACACCTGGAAAGTCGTTCCCGTAAGCGTGGCAAGGAACAAGACCATCTTCACCGGGAAATGGGTCTTCCGCATCAAAACGAAGGCAGACGGCACAATCGAGAAGTTCAAAGCACGCTGGGTCGTGCGTGGATTCGATCAGGAACACGGACGGGAATTCACCGAAACATTCGCCCCGGTTAGCCGACACACTTCACTCCGAATCCTCCTCGCGATCGCCGCCATGAAGAAAAGGAAACTACGGCAAATCGACGTCGCTAACGCCTTCCTCTACGCACCCGTCGACGCCGAAATCTTCGTCGAACTTCCACATGGTACCCACGGGGAACCTAACCAAGTCTGTCAGTTACTAAAATCGCTCTACGGAATCAAACAAGCCCCGCGGCTGTGGCAACAGCACCTACACACTCGCCTCACTCGCATCGGATTCCGCCAACTGCCTCACGACCAAGGAATGTACCGACTCACTAAAAACGCTGACTACATTCTGCTGATCGTCTACGTCGACGATTTACTCTACATCGGCTCTACTGACGACATAACCACCTGGTTCGAAGGAGAGCTGAAGAGGGACCTCACACTCACGGTCTCCTCTACCGTCACTCAGTACCTCGGACTCAACATCCGCGAAGAAGAGAACGCGATCTATCTCAGCGCCGAAAAGTATGCCGACACTATCGCCAAACGCTTCGCACTCACACCTACTACTATCTCCACGCCATACCGCTACACGGCAGGGAACGACAAGGGAGGTCCCACTCTACTCAAAACCGCCGGAATACGCGACTACCAGAGAAAGCTGGGCTGCCTTCTCTTTGCGGCCGTCACCTGCCGCCCAGATCTGTCCTACTCCGCAAGTCAACTCGCCACCTACCTCAAGAAACCCGAAGCAGAACACCTGGCGGAGCTCGACCGCGCACTCCACTACTTCGTAAGCACCTCAACGATCGGTCTGACATACCACAAGAATACAACTACACCGACGAAACTAATCGGCTACGTCGACGCCGATCACGCCGGCGACTCAGACAACAGGCGCTCCCGCACTGGCTACATCTACCGCCTCGAACCTATCGGACCTATCTCCTGGCAATCGAGCAAGCAGGAACTAATTGCTCTCTCCTCAGCTGAAGCAGAATATATCGCACTCTGCTCAGCCACCAAGGAAGGACTCTACCTTCGCGAGCTGCTGGAAGAAGCGAAGTTAGCCGAGTTACCCAACTTCACTCTGTTCTGCGACAACCAATCTGCGATTCGCATCGCCAACAAAAGCGGATTCGCGAACAGAACGAAGCATATCGCTCTGCGATATTTCTTCGTGAAAGACGAGATAGAGAAAAGGAAACTCGAACTATCCTACTGTCCCACGTCCGAGATGGCAGCCGACTACTTGACCAAGAAGCTCGGAAAACAGAAGTTCGAGTACTGCATGCTGCTGACTGGACAAAGCCACGTCACCATCAGCGACACTCCAGAAGCGAAGGGGAGTGTTGGGAACAAATAGCCTTAAGCGCTTATGTCGTGTCGAAACTTCAAGAAACAAGCGAAGCAGCGCAAATCGAAGCACCAGCGAGTCAACTCTCGGAGTTGATGTAACCGCTGGAGGTTACGAGAAAGTCAAAGGTCAGCGACCTTTGACTTGACAAAAACAGCGCGACAGCAAGGACACACAACTGACTCGACATTGAGCAGTTGCCCGAGTCGCACTGTATCGAACCGCAACAGTAAAGCAGTTACAATTATGTCTTCATATTCTCTATACTCATATATATATTCTTGTATCTTTTTGTTTTAATCAACTTACTTTGCCCTCACATACTAGCGCAAGGTGGTTCAAGGACTTTATTCAAACGCTTCCGCTATTACATCGTTTCCTCAGACTTTAACTCTACCAAAAGATCCTAGGGCGTTTCAGCCCAACAGTTTCTACACACTTTGCAAGTGTTACAGTCAACTTAAATTTTTTTCCATTTATAAGACTTATAAGACACCCTAAACCATCCCGTTTACAAGATAACTCAAGCATTTTTGCCCGTGTACGAGATAAGACATATATGTCTTATATCCGGGCGATGACGGTACAACTACACATACATACACATTGCACATACACACACATTGCATCCACATGCACTGCACATGTCTCATGCATCCAGCCACCACCAGGACCAGCGGCCATGAGCACCTTGAGAGCAGCCGACACCGTTGGACGAAATGATGGCATCATTGAAGGAGTGCATGAGGGCGTTCAGGCGAGCAGCAGCCACGTCCGGCACGGGCGTTACCGAGCTGACCGCCGCTGCCACCGTCTGCACCCACCGCACCATGTGCTGCGCCGAGATCATGTGCCCGATATGCCGGTACTTGAGGTAAGCAAACATGTCTACCAGCGTCATCACCTGCTTCCCGTCTGCGCCATACATGCGGCACTCATCCATGGTCGTCACAGGGCCCCCCAGAATGGTGCACAGGGTAGCCACCATGTGCCAGCGCACGCTGCCCGGCCCTCCCAGTGTGTGTGATCGCTTTGATCCCGGCCCGTGGCCGGCGAGGCAGCGGTCCTTGGCGATGGTGAAGAACGCGCAGGATGCTGCCACCTGCAGGACGGTCAGTCGCTGCTGGTCTGTGGAGCCCAGGAGCGACCACAGGGAGGGCTCTGCGGGGTCTGCTGCGGCTGTATTTCCTTCTGCTGCCGTCGCAGTTGATACTGCTGCTGCTGGTGAACCTGCTGCTGTTTCTGCTGCTGGTGACGGTGGTGTTGACGCTGGTGTCACTTTAGGCCACTGTGCTTCCTGCTGCTGCGCTTCTGCGAATGTTGTGGCAGCAGCAGAGGCGGACGCAGCAGAAGAGGAGGCAGTAGGGGCAGCAAGAGCGTGCACTCCAGCAGAAGCGGGCAGGGAGGAGGCATCAGGGGGCCCAGTGGCGGTTGAGACAGGCCAGCGATCATAGGTGTGAGAGTGGTGGAAGCGGTAGAGCGCCTGAGAGAAGGAGAGCGGTTGGGAAGGAGAGGTTTGAAAAGGCAGGGTGGTAGTGCAAATATGTGAAGCGAGGTGATTGCAGGGGCAAACGGTGGTGCGAGGGCAGAGTGAGAGCAAGCAGTAAAAAACCGCTCTCACAAAACGGGAACCCAGACTGAGGGATAACAAGTGAATCACACACAGAGGGATGGCACGAAGTGGGGATGGCATCACCTGCGGCGGCTGCTTTGAGGCAAACGAGCCGTTGCGTCTGAACCTGGGATGAGACAGAGAAGTGGGATTTAGTGGGGGGTTGGTAGCAGCATGCGGGGAGGGGAGGGGCAGTCAGTTAAATAGAACGTATCAGCAGAGCAGGGAGAGGCGCGGAGAGATCAAGTGGAAACACATGTATGATCAGTGAAAGGAACACACTTAAGGGGGCGTGGATGTGACAAAAATGGAAGGAGGTGCACGATGGGGAGCATGGGATGCTGGCTCATGCAGGTGGTGCATACCTGAGACGTTGCATGGTGTGTTGGCGAACAATGATGCGATCTCGGGCTGGAGAGGGTGGGTGAAAAGGCATTGGAAGAAGAGTTGTGTGGCAGGCAGGAGAGAGGGAGAGACAGGAAGAGTGGGCTGAGGACGGGGGCAGAGAGGAAGAAGAAACGCAATGGGCGACATGTATAGGAATCACGGGGTGCGCCATGGGGCAGGGAGCGCACCATGGGGCAGGGAACACACCATGGGGCAGGGGGCGCACCATGGGGCAGGGGGCGCACCATGGGGCAGGGGGCGCACCATGGGGCAGGGAGAGGAGCAAGGGGCAAGGGACGCACCATGGGGCAGGGAGAGGAGCAAGGGGCAAGGGACGCACCATGGGGCAGGAAGTGTCGGCGTAGGTGGTGATGGAAGAAGGTGCGATGATGCACATGCGCATGGCAAGAACGGAAGGAGGTGCAGGAAGGCGAGCATGGGATGCTGGCACATGCAGGTAGCTAGTGCATACCTGAGACGTTGCATGGTGTGTTGGAAAACAACGATGCAATATCCGGCTGAGAGAGTGGGTGAAGGGGCATCGGAGGGGGAGATATGTGGCAGGAGAGTGTGAGAATCAAGACAAGTCGCCAGCAAGTGAGGAGATGAAGAAGAAAGGACAGAAGAAACGCAATGTGCAGCATGGTGCAGGGAAGGTGGTTATGAAGACTAATGGAATCACAAATCACACCATGACCAGAGCTGCATGCGGCACCGCAACATGGGCGCACCACGGGGCAGGGAGCTCACCATGGGACAGGGAGCGCACCATGGGACAGGGAGCGCACCATGGGGCAGGGAGAGCCAGCGTAGGTGGTGATGGAGGAGGGTGCAACGATGCACATGCGCGCACAGTCCACGAACGCCCCTGCCACCTCCCTCTCCGTGAATGGCCGCCCACAGGTTGCTGGCAGGCAGCCCACCAGCCTTGCACACGTCTGCACACACCAACACACACATGCACGCATGCATAGATGTATTGAATACAGTCAGCTGGATTTCTTTGGCACCAAATGTGATCTAAAGCATGCACACAGTTCGCTCCGGAAGATGTCTATTGAACTTGAGCATATCCTACAGCGGTAGCACATGGAGCAACGGCATGCTCACATCACGACAGATGTAAGGCGGAGCACCAGCAGCGCCGCCACTGGGCAGCGTCTGATTGGCTGCGAGCGCCACGTCATCTTTGAGCGCACAGGACCCCCAGGTGGAGAGCTCAACGGTGGAGGCAGCACCGACGGCGACGAGGCGCTGTGTGCCAGGAGGGGGCGCGTGCACGGTGCCGCGGATGCCCCCCGCGGGCGCGTTGAGCACCACCACCCAGTCGCCGTCCGGAATGTCCAACGCTACTGACACCTCCGTCTCGCCGCGTGGAAATGGCTGAAATGACTTGTACCTGATTCACCCGCATGGGCACCACGCATGGGGTGGCGTGGGGTGGGGTGGGGTGGGGTGGGGTGAGGTGAGGTGGGATGGATGGGATCAAGGATCAAAATGACGGTCGTTTTTTTTATAATTTACAGTATGAAACGGTATCGTAATTTACGGTCGAATAAAACGGTAAAATACGGTTGAAATTTTCTTTTTTTTGCTTGGTTTAAAAACCGGTCGTTTTTTACGACCGAAATTTTAAAACAGAGTCACTCACTAGCGAAATTCGAAGTTCCCAACCGTCATTCTCCCTAACCGAATTCCGTCCCCCCGAATCCAATCGTTTGTGATTTGTTTTCCCGAAGCGCGAATTTCGACATGTTCTCAAAGCGCGGCATTTGAGCATTTGGCGAAATGGTCAACATTGGTTGACCCGTTTCGCTCTGTCGTTTCAGCTGTTCGCCGAAGCGCAACGATTCAATTTAACGAGGTGCGACATTCAAATATTTGGTGAAATGACATCAATTGTCTGAATGTTTCGCGTAGTCGCTGCACATTTTCGCGCCCCCATTTTTTGTTTTCGCCCGCATGCGTGACAACCCAACCTTCGCGATGTGAACTCATTTCAGCCAATAGAGTTGCACGTTTTCCATACCTCTCATCAGCCCATCCCCAAATTCCACTCGACAACACTTGCAGAGCCCTTTGACCCACGAAGGTACTAATACGAGCAATAGAAACTAGTCAACACATCCTAGCGTCAGATTTACCATAGCTTTCTCTCACCTCAGTTAAGGCCATGGTGAGACCTTTATCGGACGAATGGAAGCATGTGATCAAGGAGACATCCAACAGCGTTGTTAGTGCGACATGCAAGCATTGCAGAGATGCCATTACTCCTAACGGGACACATATTAAGTATCATATTTACAGGACTCCTTCAGACAAGCTTAAGAACGTGAAGATGTGCAAGTCAGACAAGGCTGAGCTTCTCCGTGCGGAAGCCGAACGTGAACGTTCCACCACCGGGGGTTGTGAAAACTGTGCCTCCACGTCCTCGGTTGCACTTCAGCCCGAACGTCGTAATAGGCAACGTGACATCCGCTACATGACGGATGATGTTGCTCGCGGGCGTCTAGACTACCTGTGGTGTGCGGCTGTGGCAGATAACGATCTCGCGTTCAACGTATCGGGGTCGAAATCGCTCCAGGCATTTGTTGACACGGCCGTCCACTTCGCGAAGCCTTACACTCTCCCCACACCCTACCGCGTTTCGGGCCCGCTGCTTGCCAAACTCAGGGCTGATATGGAAGACCTCGTTAAGCTGCTCAAGAACTGGAACACGAGCGGGTGCTCCCTCTCGATCGACGGGTGGACGTGCATAAAGTCACGAGGCATGGTGTGCGTCATCGCGCAAAACGACACGGCACCCGTCATAGTTCACGTCGTGGACACGAAGACCGCAAAGAAGACCGGAGCGTACCTGGCGGAACTTATTGGCGATGCGATCCGCACAGTGGGAGGCCAACACGTCGTCCAAGTCGTAATGGACAACGCGTCCAACAACAAACGTGCGGCCGAGTTGCTGAAACCCGAAGTTCCACATGTCTTCTTCACGAATTGCGCCGCGCATGTGTTGGACCTCATGTTGCAAGGTTCGGCCGGTGAGACGCGTCCTAGCTCAAGTTCACCGCGTGGTTATGATGGTGAAGGCCAGCGCCTCCGCAGTTGTGCTTTTCCGGACACTCTTCACCAAGTTGTCGTTGGTCCGGCCCGATGCAACGCGTTTTGGGACCCAAGTGACAATGGTCGGCCGCTTCTTGGAAGTAAGGAGGACGTTTCAGGCGATGGTGATTAGCGAGGAGTGGGAGCAAGTGGTTGTGGCACGGACAAAGGAGGGGCAAGCGGTCCGGACGCTCCTGCTTGATGATATGGTTTGGGAACTCGCCAGCGCAGTCCATCGCCTCATGATTCTGATCTATGAGGTGCTTCGGGCTGTTGACAAATGCTCTCTACTCATGGGGCAGATATATGGCCTCATGTTAGAGGCTACAGTCAAAACGAAGCTGCAGAGGCGGCAGGTAAGCGGCTTACTATTCTTGTGATTCCCATCCCAAATAAGCCACTAACTTCTTCGTTGGGTTCTCCCTCCACAGCGGGACTATTTGTCAAGTGCACCGGCCTGCTGGCGACAAAGGACAAGCCGCCCTTTTTGGCCACCATCAACGCAATCGTGGCCAATAGATGGGATGGTCAGCTACACAATTCGTTGCATGCTTTGGGGTCGCTTCTCAACCCCCGGAACCAATACCAGAATGCAGTGAGAAACGACAAGGAGGTAACGGCAGGGGCAGATGAGGTCATCCAAGCCCGTGGTCGGGGCGTGGCTAAGCGCGCATTGCTGTGCGCTCAGCTGGCCCAGTTCCACAAGGGAGAGGGGCGGCTTGGATCACACGACGCCCGTTGGGCAGCCTCGACGTTGGTGGAGGGGGGGCGCTTGACAGATGCCGAATGGTGGTTGATGTATGGTAGATATCTAGGCGCTTCAGGAGCTGGCTGTGATGACCCTAACACAGCCAGTCACCTCTTCCAAGGTGGAACACTACTGGTCCGCCCTTGCTCGTGTGCAGAGGCGGGACCGGAACCGCCTGGCCGCCCCAAAGATGACTGACGTCACCTTTGTGGCCTTCACCAGGCGGGCACGTGAGGCTTTTGATCGCAGGCAGGTTGTGCGTGAGAAGCTCTATCATGACCTCAGCAACGGCACCTTCAAGGACGGCTGCCTCGTTCTCCCGGTCACACCAGAAGAAGAGGAAGAGGGGGCTGAAGTAGTGGAGGGAGAGGAGGAAGAATGTACCACCATTAACTGGGCGGAGTTCGGGAGCATTGGGAAGAAGAGCAGGAAGAGGAAGGCGGGAGAGTCCTCCAAGAGGAAGAGGAAGGGGAAGGGGAAGGGCAAAGTTTCATGCAAGGGTGTGATGAAGGGAAAAACTGCAGAGTGGGAGGAGGAGGAGGAGGAGGAGGAGGAGGAGGAGGAGGAGGAGGAGGAGGAGGAGGAGGAGGAGGAGGAGGAGGAGGAGGAGGCAGACAGTACGCGTGAGGAGGCGGCACCCGCCAAGAACCCAAGGGGCATCGATCCGTGGGATATCAACGATGGTGATAGTGGGGAGGAGGAATAGGATGAGGAGGATGACGAAGAGGAGGAAGAAGAGGATCAGTAGGGTATAGTGTAGTGGGGGTAAGAGATTAAATAAGGGGTATTAACCCATTGCAGGCTTGTGTGGAGAGGCGGAGGAGGGGAGGTAGATAGAGTGGGGGAAAGGATAGATTGGGAGTAGAGTAACAATTAGTGAGGTAGTCGTAGACCGTAGAGTGAGGGTAGTAGGCCATTCTAGGCTCGTTTCTCAGTCGGTCCTTATCATTCTAGGTCGTCTCAATAAATTATTGGGAAAAAAACACACACACACACAAAAAGTCCAAGAAAAAACGGCAGTATTTTTGCCAAACTGACCGTAAAAAAGATCGTTAAAAGCGGACCCTTTTTTACTAACTGTCATTTTGATCCTTGGATGGGATGGGATGGGATGGGATGGGATGGGATGGGATGGGATGGGATGGGATGGGATGGGATGGGATGGGATGGGATGGGATGGGATGGGATGGGATGGGATGGGATGGGATGGGATGGATTGGGATGGGATGGGATGGGATGGGATGGGATGGGATGGGATGGGATGGGATGGGATGGGATGGGATGGGATGGGATGGGATGGGATGGGATGGGATGGGATGGGATGGGATGGGATGGGTTGGGAAGGGATGGGATGGGATGGATGGATGGGATGGGATGGGATGGGATGGGATGGGATGGGATGGGATGGGATGGGATGGGATGGGATGGGATGGGATGGGATGGGATGGGATGGGATGGGATGGGATGGGATGGGATGGGATGGGATGGGATGGGATGGGATGGGATGGGAAGAGTACACAGGACGAGGCGGCAAGACGAGCAGAGGAGTCGGGAAGGGCGCGTGCGTGCGGCTAAGGTTTGGTGTGCAAGGAGAGGGCGAACATACCAGCAGAGGGAGACGGGGTCAACCATGCAGAGGTTCCAGGAAGAGCCGTAAAAGGCCTGCTCCGTGTCGAGGTGCGAGGAGAATCTGACGACCACAGAGGTGAGGTTGGGGAACTTGCCGCAGTCCGCCTGGCAGCCAAAGCGGCCAAATGCGGGGAACTGGAAGGGGCGGTCGCTTGAGCTGTCTCCACATGTGGGGTCCGCCCAGAGAGTCTGCAGGGGCGGCGGGGAGAGGAGAGGGAGGGGCAGTGAGGAGAGGAGCAGACGGACGGGCGGATGAGTGTATGTGCTTTGATGCGTGCAAGGGAGAGCTGTGGTGCTGCGTAGGAGAGTGGAGAGCAGGCTTGGGGAGCAGGAGGCAACACGCCGCATGTGCGGGAAGAAGATGCGAGATGGAGTGGAGAGGGAGGGAGGGGGGCGCACCTGCACGATGCTGGTGTTGAGCCAATTGTACAAGTCATCTGGGCCAGCAAATGTGTTGGCGGAATCCTAGCTCATGCCCTGCTCTCAGGTGGGGAGAGACGCACGCACGGAGGAGGGTGAGGCGAGGAGACTAGGAGGAGATGCAATGAAGGTGCGGGGAGCTAGGCAAGGGCACAGCTGAAGTGATCGCACACGAACGCAGGCATGCTAGAATAAATGCGCGCAAGATTGTCTATGCGCTGGAATGAATGCGAGTTAGAAAAACGGTGGGGAAGAGCACGCCGGGGAGGAGAGGGGGACCGTACGGGGGGAAGAGGGCGGAGTGCGCGGCAGTGATTTTGTAGCTGCGGGAGGAGTCGGCTTGGAGGTAGAGGATGGTGATGAAGAGCGCCATGAGCACCACGAACCCGCCCAGGTCGCGGTAGTGTTGCACGCGCTGCTGCAGCCCCACCACGCGCGCAAACGCCTCTGCCTCGCGCGCAAATGGGGGAAGGAAGGGCGGAGGTGGAGCTGGGGAAATTGGGATTACACCGTGCAGAGCTGAGGTGGTTACGAGCAGAAGCGAGAACGGCGCGGAACGGCAGGCGGTGCGTAGGCCCCGCAGTCAAGCACCGCTCTGAACTTGGGCGCACCTTGCAGCACCTCTCTGTCCATCTCGCTCGTCGACCGCGCCAGGCTGCCCCCCCCATGCTATCCGCCGTCATGCTGCACTTCCAAAAAGCCCCCGCCGCGGCCGCTTTCCCCTCTCCGCCCCCGGCGTCCTCTGCGCCTTCCGCGCAGCCATCCGCGCAGCTCTCGTCGGAGCGCGTGCTGCTTGCCCACCAGGCCCGCGGGCGGCACTGCCGCAGGAAGCCGCGAAGCCCCCTCTCGTCGTCCGCTGCGCCCTTATGGCTGCTGTTGCCCCTGCTTTCCCGCGCTCCCTCAGTCCCCAAACCCTCTTCGCCAGCTCTCCCTTCCTCCGCTCCGCTCTCCGCGCAATCCCCCCCAAATCTCCCATCATCGTCGTCGTCTCCCTCGTCTCCCTCGGACGGATTGAACGATGATGCTTCGACACGTGTCATGAGCTCCGCATTCTGCGGCGCGAAACCGTGGCTATCGAGGAAATCCAAGTCGTGCTTCTTGCGGCTGCGAGACCCCGACGGCTTGCGCCTTAAAGCGCCGAGGCGGAGGGCGGGAGAGTTGGAAATGGGCGGAACGGAAGGGAACTTCCCTTAAAGGCATCACTTCGCCGGGGAGTTCAATCACGTGCTTTCTTGCAACTAGCATGGCCACCAAGAATCTTGAGAAGTACAATATTGTTACGGGTGCAATGAATCGAGGTAGCGAGAATTGCACTAAGGTGTCAAAACGAGTACAAAATGTGAGCTAAGGCATGAGCGAACATTTATACGCGAAACATGCAAAACGGTAACGCGGTGCGTGCGAGCTTGCTAGTGCTATGCTGGAGCGAGGCTCGGGCTAGTCCCGAAGCGTAGGCCGATACGGCCATGCCAGCAGTGCAAGGTTTGGCAAAACAGTGCGCGCGAAGTCGGCGAAGTTCCGTTAGCAGTAACGGGCGAACAATCGGCTGTTGCTGTACGCGATGTAGTCGGCCCCGTAAGGAATGCCAAGAAAATTCCTTACACTACCCCCCCCCTTAAGAAGCCCCCTCCGTTACACGAGTGCGTGTATATCGCGGAATCCCCGGCTCCTCAGGTACACTTGCAGGGCAGGGTGATTTTCGATGTTGCTCAGGGGCACCCAGCTATCTTCAGTTGGCGTGCGATCTTTCCAGCGAACGAGGAATTCAATCCTCCTGATTCCCGTGGGGTGGCGGATCCGATGGCTCAGAATTTTGTCGGGGTCGATGATCGGCTCTGATGCAGGGCGAGTCATTGATTGTGGCCGGTGACGCGGCAGTTGACTTGTGGTCGGGATGTATGGGCGAAGTAGGCTGACGTGGAACGAAGGGCTGATGTACCAGTCGGTTGGCAACAGTAGGTGTGCGGTGACGGGTGTGATCATGTGACTGATTTGGAATGGTCCACAGTAGCGCGGTCGTAATTTCGGTACGTCGGGCAGTCGCAGATTTTGCGTGTCGAGCAGCACGTAATCTCCCGATTGGTACGTGACAGGGCGGCGGTGGCGATCAGCGTTGCGCTTAGCGATGACATTGGCCTTTTTTATTGCTTCGGCGGCTCTGGCGCGGGCAGCTTGCAGGATTTCGGCGAATTGTTGTGCACGTGGCGTTGGGTTGTCTGGACTCGGCGTCATGGGCACTGTGGGGTTTTGCCCATAGTTCAGGTAGAACGGGGACTGCTGCGTCGTGGCTGATGTGGCGTTGTTGTACGCGAACTCGATCAGCGGCAGCTGCTGCTCCCAGGTCGTGGGGTCGTCGCACGTGGCACGAATTAACTGCTCCATCGTCTGATTCGTCCGCTCCGTTTGGCCGTCGGTCTCGGGGTGGTACGACGAACTGAACTGTAGCCTGGTCCCGAACTGCTCCCAGAGGTTCTTCCATAAGTTGCTGGTAAACTTCGTGTCTCTGTCGCTGATAATTGCTGCTGGTATCCCGTGCAGGCGAACAACGGCTGCGATGAACAGGCGAGCGGTCTCCTCGGCTGAGATCGACTTTTTGCACGCGGCGAAGTGTGCCATCTTCGTCAGCCTATCCACGACGACCATCACCGCGTCGTTACCCCCAGGGTTCGAAGGTAACCCTGTGACGAAGTCCATGGTTACTTGCTGCCAGGCGCGTTCGGGCGGTGGGATCGGCTGCAATTGACCCGCCTTCCGCTTCCTTGAACTCTTCATCACCTGACATGTAGGACACGAGCCCACGTGCTGCTGTACGTCGGTCAACAGCTCCGGCCAGTAATAGTACCGCTGCAGTTGCTGTCGTGTTTTTTCTACCCCGAAATGTCCCGAGGTAATCCCGTCGTGTGCCTCCTGCAGTAGTAGCTCCCTCAGTAGTGAGTACGCGGGTACCCAAATGCGGTTGGTGCCTGTTTTTACGTAATAGACTCCTTTTGCTTCTGCCAGTTGCTGTGAATTTCCGGTCGTGAAAAATGGGTCGGTGCGGTATCCGTGGGTGAATAGGCCAGTTAAAAGTGGGTTGGTCTGGGCGAGTAGGATGGCGTGGAGTTGGGCGGTGGGGCGGGTGAGAGCGTCGGCGATGTTGGATGCGCCTTTTTTGTACGTAACGGTGTAGTGAAAATTGGACTCGAGATAGTCCAACCAGCGAATCTGTCGTGGGTTGAGATTCGGTTGGGCGCGAAGGTACTGTAGCGAGCGGTGGTCTGTCCGTACTGTCACGTCGGCGCCAGTCAGGTAACACCGCCAAACTTTGAACGCGTGCACGATCGCCAGCATTTCGCGGTCGTGTATCGGGTGGTTGCGTTCGGGCGGGTGTAGTTTGCGGGACTCGTACGCGATTGGCTGGAGGCCGTTCCCGAAGTCCTGCAACAGTACTGCTCCCACAGCGATGTCACTTGCGTCGGTGACGAGCTCGAACGGACGGTGGGGATCTGCAATGTGAAGGACGGGCGGGGAGCACAAAATATTTTTGAGGGCCGAGAAGGCAGCTTGCTCTTTCTCCCCCCACGTGTACTCAACCCCCTTCCTCAGCAGGTCGGTCAACGGGGCAGTCAGCTTCGCCATGTCGGGGACGAACCGGCGCACGTAGTTGACGAACCCCAGGAAACTCTGCAACTCGGTCAAGTTGGTCGGCGCGTGCCAAGCCTGAATCGTCGCAATTTTCTTCGGGTCTATTTCCACTCCTGCAGCTGAAATAACATGTCCCAAAAACTCCAGGCGGTCCTGTAAAAACTCACACTTAGATGCTTTGGTCAGTAGGCGGTTCTCACTCAGGATTTTAAAAACTGCTTCGATGTCTTGTAAGTGCTGTGCTCTGTCAGGGCTGTAAATCAGTATGTCGTCCAGATAAACGATGACGCACTTATCTAAAAGTGGGCGGAATGCTTCGTTCATGGTCATTTGGAAAGTGGCGGGGGCGTTGGTCAATCCGAATGGCATGACGGTGTATTCGAAAGATCCGTAGCGTGTTTGGAATGCGGTTTTAGGGCAGTCGGGTGGATTAACGCGGATTTGGTGGTAGCCTCCTCGGAGGTCGATTTTCGAGAAAACCCGGGCTGTGCGCAGTTGGTCGATCAGTTCGTCGGCTCGTGGGATGGGGTAACGGGATTTGATGGTAACCCTGTTCAGTGCCCTGTAGTCGATACACATGCGAAACCCCCCGTCCTTTTTCGGTGTGAACAGTATGGGTGCGGCGAAGGGCGAAGAACTAGGGCGAATGAATTCCTTTTCGAGCAGGTAATCGAGCTGCTTCCTCAGTTCGTCTAGTTCGGGTTGGGTCAGTCGGAACTGTCGCTGTACTGTTGGCTGTGCCCCCGGTTCCAGTTCTATCCTGTGATCGTGCGGTCGCTGAGGTGGCAGTCCCGTCGGCAGGTCGTCCGGGAAAATGTCACTGTACTGTTTCAACAGTGCCGCCAGGTCACTCGGTACGTCGGTCAGCAGTTTCTGTAAATCGCCCCCCTTGTCTGCTGCCTCGGCTTCCCGAATGTCAACCGCGTACACGTCGGCTCCGGCCGCAACAGCGCGTTTCATCGTGATCGCATTGACACGCACCGACGAAGACTCAGGCGAGCCCCAGCGAGGTAAGGCGATGTTGTTACCGTTTACTCGCACGGTGCAGTCGCCCGTCGTCCAGTCAATTCGCGGATTGTGTCGTCGCAGCCAATCACGCCCGAGTAAAATGTCGGTTCCGTCGAGGGTCGTTGCGAGCATTTCCTGACTAAACGTGAAGTTACCCCCGCATCGAATCCGAACTCGGTCTACGCGTTCCCGTATTGCCAGCGGCGTGCCGTCTACCAGTCGTGCGTCGATCTCAGGTAAGCATCTGTCCAGTGGCAGTCGCAGTTTCCGTGCTGTAGCAGGGTTAATGAGGCTGTGGCTGGCTCCCCCGTCTACGAAGATTTTAACTAAGTCCGTCCCAATTTTCCCACTGAGCAGTATAGGGCTGTCTACCGTGGTACCCTCCTTATTCGGCCGGGTGTGGTCGATTGCGTGAACCGGCACAATCACTCGGTGAGGGTCGGTTGGGTCGGGCGAGCGGCGTGACCTGTCAGTAGAGGGCCCGTCTGCTACTGACTTCCAGCGTTTCCCTGCTGCTTGGTCTGTGTCTGCTGCTCAGCTTCCCCCTTTCCCTTAGCGTTTTCCGGGCATTCGCTCTTGCGATGTCCCGGCCGATTGCACGCAAAGCAGCGCCCTTTGAACGGTGCGGCAGCGGCATTTGCGGCGACGGCGCGTATCGTGGCGCTCTCGTTCGTCCCACGAGGCCGATGTCCCCAGGTGTTGTTTCCGTAGGACCCCGGTCTCGGTCGGCGAAAGAAGTCGAGCTTCTCCGCCATAGCGAGAATTTCCTGAAACTCAGTGACGCCGCGAAGCTGGATTTCCTGAGCGATGTCCTGCTTCAGGCCGCCGATGTAGCGGTCGATGCGTTCGCTCTCATGCATGTAGCCCACCTGCTCGCATAGCGCCAGAAATCCGCTCGTGTAATCCTGGACGGAACCGAGTTGGCGCCAAGTGCGGAGCTTCTGTCGCGCCGAGATCGAGGCCGCGATTGGCTCAAATCGAGCGCGCAGACCTGCGCACCACGCGTCCCACGTGCGATACTGGGGCACCTCCACGAAATACGACGGCGCCCAGGGTCCGGTTTGTCCTTCCCGTGTCGGTAGTGTCGCGTAGTCGGTCGGCTTTGTGACGATGACGCGCCACCAGTCCATGGCGGGTCCTCGCAGCAACGACACGGCGTATCGAATCTTCGCCGAGTCCTCCGAGACGTAGTTGGCGTCGAAGAAGACATTCATTGTGAACAACCACGCCTGAACGGTAGGACCACCCCGTTGACTCGGGTCAAAGCATGGCGGGCGCTGCGGCTTCAGCGGCATCGGTGACGGCAGTCCCGAATCGTGGGTTGGTGCCGAAATCGTGACACGAGGCTGACTTGGGGCCGCATGCGTCGCTCTGGGGTGTGTCGTGTCGTGGTCGTCGTCTCCGTCGG